GAGATAGCATTGCTTGAACTGGGATGGCTATGTCAAAAGCTTTATTCTGTGTTTACTGATCCATTTTTGTGTGGATTGGACATGCGTTTTGGATCTTTGTCCTGCTGGAAGATCCAACCACAACCCAGTTTTAGCATTTTGGCAGAGGCAGACACATTCTCATTTGAAATCTCTTAGTGCTTCATGTCCATTATGCAATGTATCCTAACAAGGTTCCCAGGGCCTTTGGAAGGAAAACAGGAGAAAAGCTCTATTTTTGTCACATCTGACCCTAGAACCCGGTTTCAGTTAAAGTTCCAGTAGCGTTTAGCAAACTCCAGGCACTTACATTTGTGGTTAGATGAAAGAAACAGCCTCCTTCTGTAGGCTTTCCTGATTGTTTGCTGACATGGAAGCGGCATCCAAAAGTAGTTTTGGAGACTTGGAAACCCCAAAATGCTACCATCTTCTGTGTCATTTAATCAGAGCATGTTGATGAGTGACTAAGGACATTTTGCCCATGTGTCATCTCATATTTATACCTAAGTAAAACAGCAAGTCATGGAGTTTCTGAACAGTGAAATATAAATGCGAACATGCTGCAAGTACATTTTGTTCATTAGAATTTCTAGAGGCACCAGTAATTGTGTACTCATAGGTTGCTTTGTAGTATATCCTTGGATTTTGCACCATCTATTCATCCTTCACTTTGCCTCTACTGAGGAAAAGCTTCCCCACAACAGGAACCTGCCACCCCCATACTTCACTGTTGGGATGGTGTTTGTTGAGCAGTGAGCAGTATTAGGTTTGTGCCACACATAGCGTTTTCAATTTTGGCCAAAAAGCTCCATTTTTGTCTCATCTGACCATAAAACTTTATTGCACATTTTAGCTGGGTCATGCTAATGCTTTGTGGGAAACTCCAGGCATGCTTTGATTTTTTTTTTTCTTCATCTGTGGCTTATTTCTAACCATCATCACTTACAGGCGTGTATGCAGAGCTCTTGACATTGTTGACTGGTGCACCTTCGCTCCACTTTCAGCCACTGAACTCTGTAACTCCTTCAAAGTGATTGTAGGCCTCTCTGTGGCTTCCCTCACAAGTCCCCGTCTTGCTCTTTTGCTGTTTTTGCCTCGTCTAGGCAGTGCCTGGGTGGTATGATGCAGCTCCCATTTCCTCACAACTGATTCAACAGTGCTCACTGGGATATCCAAACACTTGGATATTATTTTGTTGCCTCTTCGTATCTTGTGTATGTCTTTAACTTTAATCTCCTTAGAATGCTCTTTGGTTTTCTTTTCACAGCTTTCCTTATTTCATTTCAATGGTACTTGAATTAAGAGGGGCTTTTATCCAGAAAAGGTAAACTTCCTGAATAATTCGCAGGTAGAGCCCCATTGTAAGCCAACTGTGTCCACGTTAGAGCAATATCTTTCATCTGTGTAAACTTGGAGCTTCTACAGCACAGGGGTTGAATACTTATGCAAACAGCATTTTTCAGTTAGTCATTTTTATTGCTGAATATTTTCTTACATAAAACCAATATCACTTTAAATGAATTCAATTTGACTGTCAGTCTTAAAAATATGTCACAGCATCAACGTGCCATTTGTTATCCCAATAAATCTGATGAATTTTAAGGGGGTTGAATACTTTTGCAAGGCACTGTATTTGTCTGGCAATGTTGGCACATCATCCACTGAGAAGAAAAGACCACCTGTAAGAAGACGAGTCCTCATCAGCATCCAGTGTTGTACCTGTTAGCTGTAGTTTTAGCTCATTAGCTAATATAACATCGACTAATATGAACACCTAAAATACTAAAACTGGACTTCCAGAAGGCCTAGAGTGATAAAATTTGTCCCACTCATTAGAAATCAAACTCTGATTTATTTGATTCCACTGTCACTTACTAATTTTGTTAGTAGTTAATCTGACACGTTAGGCCTTCAGTTCAGCTCCTAAACAATGGGAGAGCTTGCTTGGCTGCATCTACCTAGATACCACAGTGGAAAAAAATCCTTGTATTATTTTCCATTAGTCCTTTAACCCTTTTGTTTCGATATAAAACTTTATGAAATAAGAGTATTACCACAATACTTGAAATCAGAACAGAAATCATTAGGCCCTCTCTGAAGGCCTAGAAGGCCCTGAGGTTTCCCCTCATCTGTTTTTCCAGACACTCACTAAGCCTTGAGCTGGAACTAAAAAGGATTTCTGAAGGAGAATTTCCATTACTAGCCTAGGCTTAAACTGTGTCAGTTAAACTGGCCTAGCAAGTTCAAACCACCACATATTTCAAGCATTCAGCTGAAATCCTGATCTATCACATGCAGTCTGTTGGCAGCACCACCATTAAGTATAACTGCATTCTGACCTTGCTTGTAATAAATCACCAGGAGCTCTAGCAACATAAGACTCTGTCACATATCAGCTAAATCTGTAATGGCATGCCTGTGGGCAGAGACAGGTGCTGGACTGCAGCTTCACTGCTATGTGCACCATGATGAAGAATGGCTGGACATGCACAGCTCCCAATCTGCCATGTGTGCTGACAATGAAATTCCCTCACACTTCACTATGTGTAAAATGTAACACTGCTCGGAGTGACCCTCGAAATGCCCCCCATACTGGATTTAAGGGAAAGCAGCAGGCATGGAAATGTGCCATTAACAAACCACACATACTTATCCACAAGTCTCTTTTTTGCCTGATTGATGAACCACTATGGTGTGAGATGTGTCTGTTGAGATATCAGCTGAAATGTTTTATAAATGTAAGATATTACTAATAAATGTAAATGTTGATAAAGCAGCACACCAATTCAAATGTATGCAAGTTTTTCCTTACCCCAAATGCATTCCATCAGCAAAGGCAGGTTTGGTCTCTGAAGTTTGCTTCTTTAGTTTTGCACTGGAGCTATGAAGCTAATGCAGCTAACAGGTAATGCCTATGTATATCAATTAGCATTGTACTCCATGACTAAATCTTTATACATTTGCATCCAACCACGTCAAACCTTCCCTAGACTTGCTAATGTGGTTTCTGATGCTGGTTTACATATTGTAATCCATAAAAATGGACAAAAGTACACACAAAATTCATAATTCTCGTCGCTAATACTGTTTTTAGCTGTGTGACCTACATTTGTTCTTTTGTCTGTACTTTTTGGTTGTATATAAATTCAGACACCAAACATGTTTTGGCTATTTACTACATCTAGTAAAGGGAACATGTTTGTAAATTAGATTTTTTGCGAAAATCATTTCAATATTGGCTAAACATTCAGAGCCCTATGCCAAATGGCGGTCTGTTAGTCCTCACTTGTGCGTGCCCATGAGGACCGTGACTAAGCAAAGCTGTACGCTGTGCCATTTCTTATTCTGCTGTTCAGTGGGGTGCTCATGAGTACCCTCTATCTGCCTATGGTTTGGCCTTTGGCGAAGACTGCATCGATTAAGACTCAGCAGCAGCCTCTTACCTAAAATTCCTTAAGAGACAAGTGAGGACCAAACAGAGTGAAGGGGTTTGTTTACATCCAACATGGCGCCGAAGAAAATATTCAGATGCATTTGTTCATTAATTGAACTTGTCTTTGAGCTGCATTATGCTTGTAACTTGAATTAAGACACTACAGATAAGAAAATGAGCACATAAAACACTATGCCGTTAATTCGCCAGGTATAGCACAGGCAGAGCCTTCACATCACATAAGTCTGTCCCAAGTGAACATTGTGAAACCTAAAGCCCTTGAGTTTCTTGCCCTTTATATCCACAAATTGAAGACATCGCTTGGAGGACAGGCAGGGCTTTTGGGACATGGGACAGGCCTCAGTTCCTTTTTCCTAGAGGCCACAAACTAATTTCATGTTAGTAGCTGCACCTCTCTGAGACACTGGAGAAATAAGGCCCAGCGTCTGTTGCAATATCAGAAGCATGGCGCCACCTACAGGCCTACTCTCTGAGGCCAATTTCAGTTTCCATTTCAGTGTACATTAGATAAGAACTCCAGTTAAATGAATTAGCTTTTTTGAACAAGCACTTCACTAAACATGTAAACATTCTAAGTAAGAACCTTTTGTTGGTAATACTAAAATTTAATATTAAACATAAAATTATTTCCCATTACTGTTTTGGCTCAAGTGAAGGGTGTTAGATGAGCCCTCAGATGGGCGAGGGATCTAGCAAACACAAGTGTCGACTTCAGCAGCAGAACTTGCCCAGAAATCATTACGACCTGATGCAATTCCCTTCCCAAACTTGAAAATAATGAACAGGCAAAGCTGTTTATTAGCCACAGCAATAAAATACTTTAATTGCTTAATATTTCAAAACCATGACATTTAATTTGCTCGGCTTTAGGCTGCAAACTAGCCAATCTGTTATACACGACTGCTGATACAACTCGGCTCACTGAGGCTTACCGGCCTCAGTGAATAATCCAGTTCTCTGTCCCTTCCTGCCGCCACTGGCCACTTGCATAATGCAGGTGTGACGCACATCTGAGTGAGCTGAAGTGGATGAGGGCATGTTAAAAAAAGTATTGATGTGGGATCAAAATAAAAGCCAGCAATGCCCTTCAGTAATGTGTTGATGATCAATCTGTATGTTCAGGTAGTGCTAAATATAAGTGATTGCACCAATCTTTTGAGCTGACGTTTGCAGCTTTTCAAAATATTTACAAATTCAGATAAATCTGGCTAAATTAATACTTTTCACACTCCAAAAAAAAGTGTCAAACTGCATTTACAGTATAGATATACTTTTTTTTCATTTCAAGCACATTTATGTACCTATGTAACACTGACCAGTGCAAATGTGAGCCAATAGCACTTTTTCAGCCAACAGCTAAAATTCATGTTATGATAGAGAACTCGACATCATTTGCTAAATGACGAAGTCCATGTCTTTTAACAATGAACCAACAACTTAAAAGGGTTCCTCTAGCACCACCACCAGGCCATGTAAGTTTACAACAGATAACTACCCCAGCAAAACCAAGACCAGCAGGACAAAGAGCTAAAGGTAGTAAAAATGTTTATTGGAACAGGATCCACAGGGACATCACAAGGCATAGGGTGAAATTGTACAACCTACACACACAGCGGTTCCTCCAAATCTCAGGCCATTAATTCAGACTTCGGGATTTAAAGCGCAACATACACAAACCCATCACATCTCATTTAGATCAATAAATAAGAGAGCCAATTCCCTGCATTTCTAATGTGCGCTCTTTTCAGTCGGGCTCAAAAATCTGCAAATAAATATGCATATACACATTAAATAAACATAATTACATACAAATATGTTCAAGTATAGTGCATATGGTACCTTCTGAGAAGACCTGCCACGTGCAGCATTACAATTTGACGGGAATATAAATTTAAAAAAAAAAAAAAGGACTTCTTAGTTGGATAAATACAAGTGAAAGTCCAACAGACATATCCCTTAGCTCTGCTGCTTGCCTCAAATAGCCTCTTCCAAGAGACATTACTGTATGGCTAATCTTAAAATCATAAATTCTTAATTTCAAAAAAGTGAATCGGCTCGTTTGCTCTATAGGTAATGCATAAAGAAGCTGAAATCCGAGCACCTTTTTAATGGAACGTGCCAAAAAAATCTTAAAATTGTCTTCAAAAACAAATAAATGAAGTGAATTCCAAGCTCTCAAATGATCAGACGTTTGGCCTTGAAAAACAGCTGGACTTCTGTAAAGATATCAGCCGTGGTTAAACTTGCCCATTCAAATCCATTAATGGTTTTCAGTGATCTTCAGGGGAATGGTATGATAATCCTTCAGCACAGACAGTGCCAAAAAATACTATAAGAAAGGCAATGGCCTTCTACAGTACAGTGAAAGAGGGTTTGGTACTATAAACATTCATCTGCTTGTAAACAACTGTAAACAGTTTGATAAGTCAAAAACTAAAAAGAGACAAATGTTGTAAACCCTCACTCAGAACCAAATGTGACCAGGAGGTGGAGATACAGGGATGTGTAGTGGAGTTCACCTGTCAGAGAAAAAAAACAAAATGTAAACAACCTCCCTCCTGCCACCAAAGACTTGTCACATCCGTATGTAAGGCTGGCTTTAGACTGTGAAACTATTATGCAACTAGTTGCATGTTGTGAGTTGCCTGCAACATAATCTCTGTGCAACATTTTTTGATACATTATATTCTCATTATGTTACATCTGCCTATCTGCAGTTTTTTTATTCATCATCATTGTATTCTTTTCTAGCTGTCATTGCCATCGTTTTTCTATATCTACATATCTATAGTTTCTCTGATTCTTTACTACGTTTTACCAACTTCTGTTTTATTTTCTTGTCCAATAATCCAGTCAAATCAATTGTTTGAAAAGATATTGTTTGATATGATCACGTGATGCATTAGTAGAGTTTTGAAAAGCTGTTGCTATCATAAAATTTTGACATGTGCATGCATGTAAATTTCAGTGTAAAAGCAGGCCTGTAACTCTATCCAACTGGCCATCCAGCTGATGGAGTCAAGTTCCGTCTTGTGTTTAGAGCATCAGTTCTCCTCAATCATTTGATTAGAGGGATATAGATTTTTTTTTTCCCCTATGTAAAACTAAAGATACTGAAGGAAAAGGCAAGCCATGTAGACATTTTTTTCCCTCAAATCTAAAATAAGGAGAAATAATGGTGTTTAATAAACAAAAACAACTCTGCACAGAAATAAGTTACAAATGTAAAATAACCTGTTTGACTTAAGAGTTTTGTCTAATTTTCTGAATCTGAATCTCAAGATGTGTAATACTTGACGTCACTGTCATAGATGGCATCCTGATCACACCAACAACACAAAGGTAAACAAAAGCAAAAAGGCCTTAATTATAATAAAAGAGTTAATGACAATACACAATATCTGTATAAGACATATGACATACTAATCTGACAAAAATGAAAAATGTAACCTTTGCTACATGTTATAAACATGCCTTGTTTACAAAAGACTAGGGCAAATTCCCAAATGGCTCCCAACTCCATATATATTGCACCGTTATGAAATTGTGGCTTCTACACCAAAATAGTTTGTAGTTTGTCCTTTATAAAATTTGTGCATGTGTGGCTGAATTCCAAATGGCCCTTCGTTAGACATATTATGCACTGTGTCTGTGTTGGAGTCATTATTTTAAAATGTAAAATTTATATAGTGCACCACATAGGGAGCAGGGAGCCGTCTGAGATTTCAGTCTAGGAAAATCCCTTTCTGATGTATCTTGAGGTGGATACACATCCAGGCAGGCTGTTTGGAATAGGGCTTTTTTTCCTGCTACACTAATGAACGAAAACAAAAAATGCATGCAAAAGCGTGAATTCTGTCAAACCAATGAGGCCGAGGGACGAAATTCTGCACTACAGAATAATACATCACATGACAAAGAACATTAAATTCTAGTTTTAAGCTGGAATTCCCCTTTAATGTCTAATTCTGAAGAGGCCACTCAGACTGTTAGACTGAAAACATTCTAAGAGGAACGTGAAGACCTGAAAGAGACTTCACAACCCATCCAACATATAGAGGTAGTTCTTTTAACTCTAATACATTTCTAGAACTGCATGGAAAGTCTATGCTTGCCTGGCTTCTTACTTTTCACAAAATACTTTTCACAAATTCTGAGTAATAAGTGAGATCACACAGGTGAGAACACAACATTTGTCTTTGTCAGAGGTAAAGGTTAAAAGAAGAGAAGTGCTGAACCACATACCCTCCATGGTAGTCTAATGCCTCTTCTGTGTCATCTGTTGTGCAGTCTGCTCAAGCTGGTTCTGGGAGATTTATTCTAGGAATAAACAATAAGCAGTTGAAGGATATTGTGAAGAATAAATGGAGACTGTGCTGTTTTAAGTCAAAACATATTAGCATAAATAAAATTATGTGAATAAATCTAAAAGAAGTATTTGTGTGTGTTGAAAGTGAAGTAATGATGATGTTCTGGGGCACTACCTTGTGCTTTGGACATCTTATAGTAAAGTTTTCCTCGTTAAACGAGCACTCTACAGACAAAAGAAATCAGACAGTCAGACAAGCAAAATATATTCAACAGGAAAGTCTAGCAAGACTTCCAAAATGGAGCATAGAGTTCTCACAAAAAAAAGGTTGACACCAATGATAATGCCTTTACTGAAATGCAGCTTCAGAGGGGATGATGCAGAAGACCGCCCCCCTCCCCACCCCCCCCACCCCCAATTTAGACTGATGAACATAATTTTACAATTAAATTGTAAAGTGCAAGCCTAAAGTGGCCAAACTGGAACAGCTGCAGGGTCAGTACATGTTAGGCATGTTTGTGGCACACACAGGCTTACCATCCTGGAGAGCACAGGGGAAGTGGTATTTGTTGGGGCAGCCTTTGAAGAAGCATCCCAACGTGGCACCTGCTCTGTTACAACACGAGCACACCTGCAACGATCACAAAAACAATACAGAGAAATCACTACCTTTAAAAGCACTTTCTAAACTATGAAGAGACTCCTATCAGGATGATGGTACGGTCTGCCTTATATTAGACCTGGAAGAAGTTATCATCATCTCAGAGTCGATGTTTTAACACACTGTGGACACAATGGCCAATACATAATGGTATATATGTTATGGTTTTATGATGTTTTGGCACTCTTGACATGGCTATGGACAAAAGACAAAAATACCCCCATCTTAAGGAGCTGCCCACAGCAGCTACAATAAGGAGTTTTTAATTCGAAGAAAAGTGTCATGGATATGTACTTTTTGTGCTTGATTCTTCCACAGTGCATTATGATCATAGATGTGTGTTCGGCCACTGCTAGCAACATAGCATAATAAAGCAAATCTAATAAAATTACTATTAAAGTTAAAAAAAAAAAAGTTAATTAAATTTAACATTCGGCTTGGACTCACAGCTTCTTGAGCGAGCCTCACTGCTTCCTCTAGTCCGTACAGCTTGGCTTTGACCAAGAAAACTCCCGCACACCAGACACTACAGTCTTCATGTACCCAATGTTCACTGCCCCTTTCAGAGGCAGCAGGCCACTCATCTGACAAACAGTGTTCCTTGCGCAGAACAGCAGGCTTTTTCTCCTCACAGTCTATGAGTCCATCAAGTGTCCGGCCTCTAGACTCACTGTCATGGTTCACCACTATTGGGCTACAATAAGTGTCCGGCTGACGACAGTAGGGCCCATGTAAGTCCCCCAAGCCAATGGCATTGGCCGTCCTGCCGCACAAGCAGCACAGCTGACCCATCTGAGACCTACTGTCCGAGCTCAGCCGTCCCAGCAGTAAGCAAGAGGTTGTGGGCACTATACTGGATGATGCAGAAGACTGACGGCTTTTCTTCGCCCTAGTATCGCCGTCATCATCCTGAAAGTTGACAATAGTGCATGCAGAAAATTCCATCCGGATATAGGGGGCAAAGTTGTCCCCCTTGGCCTCTCTCTTCTCCTCTTTGTAGTTTGCGTATTTCAGCATGATCTCTGGCTCCTTGGAGGGAAACATGGAGGTAGAGGACTTGGAGGGCTGAGATTTCTTCCTTCTTCTCTTGACCACTGCCGCTTTGCTGCAGGATGAAAGCTTTCTTCGTTTCCTGCCTGGGCTTTTCTTTTTGGGTTGCGGGTTGGTCCGTCTCTTTCTCTTACACGGTGCCTTTCTTTTAGATGGTGGGCCACCCTTAAGTGATGGCGAAGATGGTGCTCCATCCTGCGGAGCTTTAAGAATGTTTGCATTTTCTGCATCTGAGGTAGACGGAAAGTTTTTGGAGACAAACGCATCAGTTTCTGGATCACTGTCCACAGTGGGTGACGATACCTCACTTGACTCCAAAGTTTCTGCAACGTTATGGAAAGCGAGTTCATTAGTGCGATAGGTATTTTTAACATGTCTGGTTATAGGCACCTCGATGACGTCGCTATCGGCGCTAGAAATGTACTCAACTGAGCAAGGAGAATTCACTTCAGAGAAAGTACATTCAGATGACAGAGTTTCTACAGCAGTTTGTTTGTGCACCAACAAGTGTCTCTCTACTAACGCTGAATCTTCAGAGATTATGCTCACAGAGCTAGTGGAATGTAATGAAGGAGTAGGAGAAGCGCTGTCCTGAGGTACAAGAAAGCCCTTGGATCTAGTCCTCGGCAAAACACTTGTATTTTTTCCACCACAGCCAGCTTTGGTGTACTGGGACTGTGCATTCAGTGCATTCTTTTTTTCCTTAGTGCTTCCCCTGGTTCGAATTGGTGTGTCAGTTTCAGTCTTAGCATTCTGTGATACAGTGATCAGCCTCTCAAACGGATTTCCAGAGGGATGCATAAACGCTTTATCCATTGTAACACCAGTTATGCCATCTTCTATAGGCTCAGGGCTTATGGGTGGGCATGGACAGAGTACTTGAGCAATAGAGGGCAGTCCATCAAGCAAAGGCAAAGAGTTTTGGCTGTGTAAGGGCGTGCCACGATAGATCGATTCATAGTCAAACCTTGATGTGGCGTCCAACTGGGAACCATCACCTTGTTTGGGAGGCTTGGAAATGTGGTTTCCAGGAACACCCACCGTCCTGCTGTTGGCACCTGAGTTAAGATCACTCCGGCAGGCTTTTACAAGATCCAGGGCCTCCACAGAGCTTGGTTTAACTGGAATTTGTCGGCAACCCATGGAGAGATCCAGAGCTGTGGGAAGGGGCTCTTGAAGACGCATGACGTTCAACTGGTTTAACTGGTCCATCACTGGAGAAGACAAAAATATAACTGTAACAAAATGAAGACATATAACACCACCTAAATGCTGGAATCTAAATATCACGTTAAAATTTGAGAGAATGAAGATCTACCCCCCCAACACGAAAGATTACATCTAAAAAACAAGCTGTTTACAAGTTGCTTCCCAACTGAGTTGAGTAACCTAACCATAAATTTACATAATCTAGTCATCAAATCTGCAATCTCATTTTGGACATGAACAAAGTCACACCTGCCGGCTTCTCTAAGTCATATTTCCTGTCATATTTCATGTTTTCCAACAATTATGTCCTTTAGTTACCTTCTCCAAAAAACTAAACAGAAACGAAGAGCCAAACTGCTACTTGACGTTCTTAACGTTAGCTAACACGTGATTTAAAGTGGTTACCGAGAGTATCTTCATGTGACCTCACGTAACTAAAAACTTGACACCTAAGCTCGATAAAACAGCAACAAATCTAGCTAAAATAATGAATGGAGCCAGCCCGGTTAGCAACTTAGCCTTAGCATTAATTAACAAGGCCTTTTGTATCAGTAGTGATGCTACTCCCTAGCAGATGGTTCAGTTCGATTGAATTTAGACAACCGATTCATTTAAACTGCCCGTTTAAATGAATCAAAGGTCCGATTAAACGATACATGGATTCACAAGTCACGTTCTCGTTCCCTCCGCAAACAATACGATTTAACTAGTGAATCTGGGGTCCTCAATGATCAATCAGGTGAACTCTATGTTCATAACGATACGATTAGTACAAACGATGCGCAGTAACGTTACATGCTACAGTTCGACTCGTTTCAACCGGTACCGCGTGTTAACTGAAAAGAACCAGTTCAAAGGAACCAATTCGTTAGCTTAGCTTAGCTTCGTTTACCGACTTACCAGAAAAAATAACGTCGAGCTGCGCCGCAGATTCACGCCGAGTTCGTTAACATATTACTGAAGGCACACATAGACGTCATTAAAAAAAATAAGAATGTGATTAAATTTCATAAATCAATAAAATAAACTGGGGTTTATGTTTGTTTTTATTTTTTTACATGACTAAAGAAACCGCACTTCTTTAGTCTCCGTGAATGTCGCCACCACAGTAAACACAACATTTCCAAGATGGACGCAGCAAAAGATGAATGCCAAACTAGCCAAAATAAAAGTTTACAAGTCAACGTTATTATGTAATATTTGTCACCAGTTTTATTGCAACAATTGATTATTGAAAAACATGTATATTGGAGCTTATTCGAGAAATGTTTTTCCCATGTTACTTTGGGTTATTAGTTCTTCAGCATTTATGTACGGGTTATTCTGATATGGACTCTTATTGTGAAGGCGGGGCTTGTTTTCCCTGGGGGAGATATGTGGATATATATATAGCTCCTTTTATACATAATGTGCAATATAGGCAAAAAGTGTTATATAAAGGACAGAAAGAAAAAAGCTTCAGTTTCAAAGATTCTGAAATATTCTGCTTACTTTATTCTGTTAAATAAAATAAACCATTCCTATGCTTAATAAGAGGTTGAGAGCTGCTAGCCTTAATGATTCAGTTTTAGCTTAAATTCAAGGGTATGCACAACACAATTGTCACATGTGCTATCATAATAAAAATAAAAATGAATATTACACCTTGTCCTATATTTTTACTTTCTTTCTTTTTTGTAGCTAGCTATGGAGTGTATTTATAAACAGCATAATAGGAGCTTTTATTGTGTGTTATTATGTGGATATATAGTCTCTCACAAGCTGCTGTTATTACTTCCATATGCACATAACTGATTATCACAGAGTTTGAGACAACAAAGGAGATATCTTTTTTCATTTAGTCATTTATTTTTTGTACAGTAGATTATTCTTAACATTCATAAATCTCACATCTTACAATTGACCTCCAAGAAACATCCTCTCATTGTTTCCTAACACAAGGACTGCCAAATATGTTCACGTAAAAACTAGCAACCAGTAGAAAAACTAAAGATGGTCCCATAAATGCAATTGTAACATTAGAAATGCAGTTCAGGATGGTTGAAAAGGCACAAGATTATAAAAAGGGAACTATTCCTATGCTAAATACATAGGAAGTCACCTTATACATTAATAATTTGAATAGAATTTAATCTGTATAAAAAAAAAAACACAAGCTTTCGTAAACAACAATTTGGTTATCTAAAAAAAGTGCTGTATTCTTACAGACATGTTAATCATCATTTTTATATATTAATTACTATGAGACCAGCTGCAGGAAAGTGGTAAGCACAGACCTGAGCAGCACATCACATCCAACATGGAGTGTCGAACAGCTTTCGTTTCACATTTTCAGTTGCTTTCGGTTCTCTTTAAGCCCCCCATCTCACCTTAATTTATAATCAAATATATGAAATACTTTCATTTTCATCTGCCACCAGCTAGGAGTAGAAAAACAAGTTTTTTAGCTGTATTCACAGCTTATACAGCATTATTACTATTACAAAATACATTTGAACAACCAAAAAAAACCCCCATAAAAAACACAATTATTCTTTCCATACCTTGGTATCCCCTAGTATGCAATTAGAAACAACTATTCTGACTGCAAGAATAAAAGGTATACATAAAAATGTTAAAAATCATCCCTCTATATACTTTGAGTCCGTTGTATGACTGTTCCTGATGGAGAACGGCCTCCATGCAATAACCTGTAGAGTGGTCACAAACATCGGCACGATGCAAATCAAGTAGAACATGGTGCTATGAAGGGCATTGACTGCACTGTGATAGATACAGAGAGAGAGAGAGCGAGAAAGAGAAAACATTTTAAAATGGCATAACCTTGTAATACCACTAGGCCAATGCCAATGTATAAAAGCAAAACTGTAGCAACAGTCTGGAGGAGTTGCGTTCCAAAGGCAAGGCTACGGTTTACACCCTTAAAAAGGAGTTCTTCATTGTTTTTTTCGTACAGGTAACAGTTCTTCAGTGGTCAGGACCCCCACAGGACCACCACAGAGCAGGTATTATTTGGGTGGTGGATCATTCTCAGCACTGCAGTGACACTGACATGGTGGTGGCGTGTTGGGGTGTGTTGTACTGGTCAGCCAAGACATGTTTAGACACCAAATCACTAAATTTTGTGTCTTTAGTTTAGAACTAAAGCTATGAGCTTAATTCAGTGGTTAAAATGTAACCAAAGTCATTCAGAGTGATTTGATATGAAATGCTCCGTTCTAGAAAAACATCACAAGTCAGAATTGTTCACAGTGGGATGACAGTAACCAGATATCTGATGTGCCTCTAAAAGCAACTTCACAGAAAGTTATTACATGAATGATTTTGAATTTATTTGTATGTATTTATTTATGTATTCATTATTTTATTATAGTTTTAAGATTAGGTATTGGCCTAAAACATATTTTTAAAATTCCCTTCATGACAGGGAGATATAATGAGGGTGTTTTGAGGCAAAATGGTCCTCAAAGAAAACTTAATTTTTACAGATTCATCACTAACTTACCATTATCAACATTACAGATAAATTCTCAGAAGACACGTGTAGGGTAGTAAATAAAATTGCTATGTTTGTGTTGTAGACAGGCAAGCCCTGATTTCTATCACCACCATTGTAAAGAAAAAGAAATGGCTAGTTTCCCTACAATGCACCATTTTACATCAAAACACTCTAAATGACTTTATTTACATCTTAAGGATTTGATTGTGCAGAAATTCTGAAAAATCTGTGGAATTCCCCTTTAGCTTTTGGCCTAAGTTATCTGGCTAACTGAAAAATTATTCTTTGCGAAATATCCACCTGGATTGTTAATACAGATCCTGCAACAGGCCTCATCTTTGATATGAACCTTTTTTTCTATATTTATGCCCATAATACTAATGTTGCTAATACTGCATGAAGTCCAGTGTAATAAAAAAGAAATAATGCTATACGAAACCTATGAGCTTCCATGCTTATTCATGTTATAACCTTCTTATATCACCAGAGGGAGCCAGAAGCCACTGTGTCATGGCAACTGGTGGCGTCAGTTTGGAGGAACCACTTTGTGTTCAGATTCAGGAAATATTCTTTAATTTCTTATGATAAACTATATTGTGGTCTCAGAATGAGAAATTCCTACAACTGACACATAAAAAGAGGCAAAGCTAGCAATGTTACCTTGGGTCTGTAACTTTTCCATCCTTTATGTCTTCATAGCCGTACTGATTCAGAATGGCCACCACCAACATAGGAGCCAAAGACTGGCCAGGTTTGGTGAAAAGAGCATTGGTCCCAAAAACCATTGAAGAGAGCGGAGAGCTGAGCGAAGGGAGAAAACAGTAGAGCTTTTAAATTTAACCAGAATTAGCATTTAGCATGATATTTGTTATATTAAGTAGTGTCCTGTAGTGCAGCATTAAATCCCTGAGCCTCATCGGTTTGACAGAATTTATGATTTTGTAATGTTTTTGTCTTTTTGTCCATCAGTGTTCTCTCACTAAAACACCCATCCTGCATTACACAAATATATCATCAAACATTTTTCATTGTTAAAAGAATAATTCAGCTCAGATTCCACAAATCAAAACAGCAAGCCTCCAGGAATCTGCACTGAAACAGTTGTAATTAATCATAATTAATTTAACCTCCAAGATACATCATCAGAAGAGGTTTTCCTAGACTTTAAACCAGGAAATCTGTCTTTAGAGTCTACCACAACACTCCTGTAAAAGGTGAGTGAGCATATTCACAACAGATGTAGCAATGGTTACATGTTTCATTTTGGCCAGAGTATCCCTTTAAGGCTTAAATTTGCAATAAACATAGACACTACCAAAATGCTCTCTGACGTCTTTCCTAAACTCAAAGACAAATAAAAGTTGTGTTTTTCAGAAGGTGCACTGTAACATTTACCTGCTGAATTGCAACCACTTCACATAGTGGTTCACATATTCAGTTTGAGCTGCACACTTAATACGTGAACCACTATGCAAAGTGGTCACAGTTCAGCAGATAAATGTTACAGTGCGCCTTCTCTGTTTAGACTGTTGTATGTTAAGCAGTGGAAAAGTTCTGGTTTTCCTCATAGAAATGCCATTCATGTGTCGAACACATACATTTAAAAAACATCCCTTTATATGCACGGCATCTGCAGGCCACGGCTCATAATGAAATCCCTGGCACACTTTTTCATTTCAATGCCTTTCCCTTATCAAACATTTACCTTAAAGTGGCAATATATCAACAGCATTACAGACAATATTTTTACAAACAAAAGCAATAATATAGGTAAATAAATTAGGCTACTTGCTAAATGACACAAGCCCTGAGAAAAGCTACACACAGTTATACTTAACAAACCTAACTAATAATCTGAATGAAAATGAGTACTAGTGATTCAAAAGACAATATTATATTTGTATTTCACAGCTTGTAAAATTACATGCTGTGTAAAATGTAATAATTTTAATAATTGTTTTTTAATTGTTTTTTTAATCTCCAAAATGATACCTTTAAAGGAGAAGCAAAAAACATACTTTACTTTTAATGTAAGTCAGTGGAATGTTGCCATGACAAAAATGGATATACGAGGTTTTGTTCTGACAGCAGTGATATATATATACATTATATATATACATACAGATATATGTGTATGTATGTATGTGTGTACATACATACATATATATATATATA